AATATACGTTGGGTAAGGGCGAAAACCGTTATATATATAATATACAAAGAAATAATGAATTGAAACAAACTAAACTTTCTTGACAGAGGTGCAATACTGACTTACTACAGCAAATCTGTTCATAAGTTGGGCCAATTGTATGGTAATTTTCGAGCCACTGACAGTCCTGTTATTTCCACAATTCCACGTCATTTTCGTTACACTGTAAAAAGGGTTCATGATGAGGATTATTGCAGATTTTCTGTAACTTACGGTCCGCCAGATTGGCAGGTTTTATGATGAATGTCATTCCAGGTCACCGTATCACTGAAACCAGTGGTGTTCGACTGTCCCACAGTGAATACAAGTCCTGCGTCAAATGCTTTCTGTAGAAGGCGTAACACCTCCCTTCCTTCTGGGTTGTCAGGTAAGTATGCAGTTCTGCTGGTGCCAGTGAAATACCTTCCAGGGTTAGGATGATCAGCCTATAAAAACAACACATGTTGAGAATTGAATATGAATAATTCTTTAAACGAGACTACCAATTTTTTCTTTGGCCCAGGACCCTGTGGAAACGGGACATTAAAAGTCACATTGAGGATCAGTGGCAGAGTGGTACGATCTGTCGCGGTTCAAGACGGTCGACTGGCTTGATAAGCACAATGGTGCATAGTTTTGTTCGAAATATTACATGTACACAAATACCTTATTCGTCAGCTCCTTGTTGGCATTAAACCTTTTACTCATATTAAGAAGAGACCAAAAAATCTCCTTACTGATTGTGTGCCACGCGGAATGGAGTAGTGTATGGTTATAACTCCGTGGTTTTCGTGACCAGGGAGGTGCATGTACTGGTCAGTAGTGTGTCTCATCGTTCCACCAGGTGGCTGATTTCCTTTTGGTGGTCGACACACTGCTTGGCAAATAGGACATTTGTAGCTTCTCTTGAATGCTTCTTCAATGCAGCCTTTACAAAATCGATGCTTGCACATCAGCGCCACTTCATCTTTCATTTCATCTGCCAAGCAGATAGGGCATCCACCGTTCTTGCCATCAGCAGAACTATCGACTTTCGTATCTGAGGGTCTAGCAGGAGCAGAGTCGGCCCCAGTTGCTTTGCCTGCAGGCCTGGCATCCTGAGATGGTTTTCTGTTTCCATAGGCCTCTTTTGAATCACTTCCCCCAATGCCTTGCTGATCTTGCTTTCCAAGCTCACGTGACTCGCCCGGTTTGGGCCAATCTTTGTTGTACTCATCAGTTTGACATGAATCAATTTGGGTTCCTAATGGTGTTCCCTGCATTTGATAAGCCAATCCTGGCCCTCTCATGTCTAAGGACGCGAAGTGTGACGGACCAGGTCCAGTGGGGGCACGGCTCAGTATCCCTGCCTTATGTTGAGCATTAAATGCTGTCTGCAGGGAGTGATAAATTTCTGCAGTGGACTCCCTGTCTATGTTCACCAACAAGACAATGCTGACAACTTTGGGTTTGGAGGGCTCGCCACTGAAATCAAGCAGGGCTTGAACCAGAACATCAGCGCACACTTTCTTTTGTGCACCTGCAGAGCCTGAGCCTACAAGGGGTATCGCTAAAGAGGAGAACTTATGCTTCTCTGCTTCGTGTAAACAGTTCAGGAATGTCAAGTATAGCTCAGAAGTGAAACTCTGGTGTCTTGAGATGGGGCCTGCAGCATGAATGATACTGCATTTAAGGTTGAATCCCGGTGTGGTTTCACATTCTGTCACCTTCAAATGCCTTTTTTGACGGAATTCCCAACACACCCTCTCCAGTTCAGGCCCAGCAGCAAGAACTATTGCCTTTGCCACACCGCCTGTATTTTGAAGATTCACAGTAGAAGGATTAACAATGGCAAGCACGTCTTGCTTTGTGATGTCTCCCTCCAGAACCAGAATATTCAACCCCTCATTGGTTACAAACTTCATAAGATCAGCACGCGTGTCTACCGGGGGGTTTGCAGTACCGTGGAAAGGTGAGTGTTGAGAAGCTGACGGCAAATGTTGTAGTTCAGTCAACATCTCATTTTTAATGGGACTTCTAAGGAATTGGGCACCAGTCATCTGTGGTTCTGCTTTACCCTTAAGGTCATCTTCACTACCTGCCCTGTTTGCTGCAGTGGTCAGCAACTTTCTTCTCGACTTAATGCCAGCAATCTCACGGAAACGTCGAGCAACTTCCTCGACATCACCACGTCTGAGTATGATTCGGTTTGAGGGAAATCCATCATCCTTGATGATAAGAGTGTCGCTCTTGAAGAGTTTCTGCGTCTGCTTTACAGCTTCGTCTACGCTTTTGGAAGGTGCTGTAGAGCAATCGATAGTTTTCCGCTGAACATCATAGGAGGCCTTTTGATAAAAGGAAATAAATTCATCTGTCGCCTGCTGTACATGACGCAGACCTTTTGAATCTGAAGCAACAACGAACACCTTGGGACTATCTTCTTTTTTCTTTAGGCTGACTTTAAACTTTACGTTATATTGTTTTGACAACTCGTTTAAGTCTTTTTCTTGAAATGACTGCAAGTACTTGTATTTGTATTTATCAACTATCACGCCGATGTCTTGGCCACTTTTCACCTCATCGCCTACGTCCTCTTTTTGACCCTCTTTTGTTTTTAGCGCCGATGGAGAATTGAATTGTTTATCTCTATCACCATTACCATCAACTGTCGGCATGTGAGGATTGGAAATAGATTCAGCATTAAAAAACTCTTCAGGATCTTCCGTTTGCTTTGAAGAGGGGTTGGGGTCAGCAGTGTTGAACATTTCGCGTTCAGAGACTTCTCCATGATTCCCAGATGCACCTCTAAATCCATCAAGACCTCTGTGCTGGTAATAGGTTGGCTCATGGGTGACAATGGATGCACTGGCAGCTTGGAACTCATTACCAACAGCCATCTTGTGTTGGAAAATTTGCCAAAAAACTTCCCTCGCCACATTATCCAACTGTGTCAGGTGTGAACAACGAATCTCACTGAGGTTATTAGGATTCACTTCAACGCCGGCAATGTTTTGAAGTCTCGATGGAAATGTGTATGCAGCTTCACGAGGCATGAGAGATAAATAGAGAGGGTCGATCTTTGCCTCAATTGATGTAAACACCTATACAAAGAGAGATAGCGTAGGATTAAATAAAGAGCTAATTAAGTTCATTTGTCATTCAATTGGTTAGTAACATCCCGAGGGACAAATTGGCATCAAAGTTGCAAATAGAGACAGCTACAATGCTCAGCTATGTTTTCTAGATCGTGCAATGGGCCTATTCGGAAATTATCAAGCTCAGAGAGGTAAAAAGCCAAATATTCAAGCAATGAATCTGGAAAACCATTTCCCTTTATGTCAATATCGGGATGAAACAATCCCTCTGCACAACACTATTTTGCATCAAAGGCAATTAATTCTTCAAACATCTGAATTAAGAGAAACCTGTAGAAACGTGCACAAACTAGATTAATTATTAAATGCTCAAAATAAAAATGAGTATCAGTTAAACTTGATTCCTCTAAATCATCATTACTTCTAAATAGAAAGCCCTGCATTCAACTTACAAGTGGAAGCCTGCAGACTTCTAATGGCTGAGAATGAAACACATGCTTGTGCTGAACTGCAGACTCTCGATCTACAAAGTATGCACATACATAAAAACTGACCTAAATGTTTTTTCTCAAGACAACAGAAATTAATTCATCAGCTGTATTTAAAGATTACAAAGGAAAGTACAACCTTACATTAAGTTTGACATCTGCATCAATATTCCTCGGCAAAAAGTTCATATACATGTACTTCAAAATCTGTCATTGAAATATTACCTTTTGCTTCTTCAAAAATCACGATAGCGCTGTTCTTTGCGGAGTTCAGAGGGTAAATCACATCCTTGATATCTCCGCCATGGTTTATTCCCCTATTTTGGAAGTGAATGATCAGTTTGTCTCGCTGTTGGTCCTCCGACAACCGACGAAATTCCTCAACAGACCTCAGGTTCTGCACTAGAAGAGCCCTCTCAAAAAGCTCTGAAGGGTCCATTTTTCTATTGACGTTTATAAAAATGAATAAAAACAGAGGTTTTAAACAAATACTTATGTCATATTTTGAATTCTGTCGCGCAAAGCTCTTACTTTGGGAATTTTTTTATATTCGCTTCTGCATTTGTATGAAAAAGGCCATTTTGTAAATGGTTGAAATCAATTTGGTTGATTCAATCTTGAAATTGTATCAATTCGCTGTCTTCATAGATGAAAGCTCTCAGACCATTCAGCCTGCCTGTTCTGTGCAAAACTACTTTCAGTACTTCTTGGTCGTAGTCCAACTTCGTACGTTCGTAAAATATAATTCTTCAGCATGATAATAAGTCGAACAGGAATTCATACCACACCAAAGAAACATAAAATCAGCCAAACTATAACTTGAGGCCACTTCAAACACTTAAAAATAAACCCAATATCATTCACACGATTTTGCATGATTATTTTATTGAATTACATTGTCGATTTCAAAACTAACTGTTGCTTAACAATATTTAGGATCTTTGCGAAACAAAAATCTTAAATGTCTAAAACTCATTTCTACATGAACAGTTCATAAACATCAAGTACAGGGTTGTGATTTCTTGAGTTTCCACGTTTACATTATTTTATAGCTAGTAATAAAATGATTGAAACCATACAACACTGATACAAAGTCTAACGTGTCCTGAAAAACAGTCACGAGCTAATATTTAAGCGATGTTACAGTACTCACGAATCGAGACAATCCCTGCATTGGTTCTTGGTAATTCGTGAAGTTTCTAGTCCACTGCAGGAACCAATGAAAAAAACAAAAACGTGAAGAACAGTCGTCTATAGGTCACCACGGACGATGCTGTGCGCAGGATTAAAGATTAACAGTTAATCTTTGCGGCTATCTCGTGTCTATGGGCAATGTGACATCTGAATACAATACAGTGGTTAACATTTGAACTTAATAGTTCATATTTGAACTTAATACTTTAATTCTCTGCCTTCATTTGCATAAGTGTATTGAGGTGAGACCACAAGACGGGTCAGGAGCTGATAAAATCCAGTAGTTTAGGGGGTAAAAAATCTACCAAGCATCCCGCTGACTGGGGGGCTAGTCTTCTTTTCGACAATTGTACGGGAAGTTTACATTAAATTTAAATTTCAGTGTTCGCTCCTTGTATCTACTTTCGTCAGATCCCTTCTTGTGATATGAAAATGGAGGGATCGATCCTTGTTATTGGCCAATGCCCGTCTGCAAAACTGCAAAATATATATATCTTTCGATCACAAGTCCAAATTGTTTTTTACGCGACTGGCCCCCTAAAAAGGTCAGGGAGCTATTTAGTACGTAACGAACGTGTTTATTAGTGCATATTATTGGGAGACAGTCAGAGAAACTTCTCGATTTTGCTTGCCACATTTAATGAATTATTTCAGTTTCCGCCAAACAGGTGCTGTCATTTATGTAATGGTAAGATTTACCCCATAATGACTGTGAAAAATATGGCAGGATTTAAGCATGAGGTTTTGACACTGCACCCATGCAACTGAGTGTATAACATAATTATGGACAGATTATGCCTATATGCATTACTACATTAAAAGAAAAGAAGCCTTGCTTAAAATGGGGTTTGGCAATAACTTCGCTACTACAGGGAAAAAGTGGGTCCCCAAATCCAAACTTAATGTAAATTTAACTGAGTCAAATTACCTGACATAACTTTATTATAGGCACATGTCAGGCCAACTGATACTGGGAATGCACGACACGTACATACAAGATAGTGTCCTTCCGCCACGGTTCAAGTAGGCCTGTACAGCTCTCGATCCCGCCCCCACTTCTCTATCTGTAACCGTAAGGGCGGGTACAGTCCACTAATTCAAACCCCATTGAAAACAGCGTAAAATCAGCACTGTTCAGGGCCTGATAGCCGTGCACGCCAACATCCCTGAGATTTCTGAAACACAAATGAAACTCTTGTCTTGTCATTTATCTTTCAATTTCTTGTCAATTTTTTGTGGGTTAACCAATTACATTTGTAATTATTCCCACAAAACAAAATCACCCCCCCCCAAAAAAAGGGATTTTTCCGAAGTCTGATTGCAGCCATTTTTCAAGTGGCAACCCTCCACTTTGTCAGGCACTTAGGACCATTTTTCAACCGTAGTTTTTAGCCCTTCTGCCCTCATATGAAAGCTCAAAGACCCAGGAAGTTGATCCTGGCAGGGATTTACACAATCTCACCACCATTTTGGGGCCCAAACAATCTCCTTTTTCAAAAGATACTGTTCATAAGCTGGCCATAATTCTCTTGAATTAGTGGTCTGCACCCTTAACCCAATTTGCACCATGATGGTAAAAAGCATGTACATGTACATGTACATGTGTATGCTATTGCTGTTCACAAATATAGTCTTACCTTCGTGTTAACGAATGTGCACAGTGCATTTGGCTTATGAGCAGCTTTCAACGATACATGCAGCTCGCCGGAAGAACAATCATAGGCAGCTTCTGGTGGCCCTCTTCTTCCAACACCCAATGAGCCACCGATTATTGCATGTTCAAGTACAATCACCACTGCTGCGCAATGATCTCAAGAATGGGAATTTCCAGCTTATATTTCAAGACCAAATATTCCCGAAGTCGTATCACGTAGACGGTGCAACAAATAAGCTGGGAATTCCCAGAGCACGCAATACATGTCCACGTGACAGCTTCGACCAGTAAGAGACGGCAGGGGTTTTCCGGGTTCCGCGCAATCTCTATTTCACAACCGACATACCAACTAGCGACAAAGGAAGCTTGCCCTCAAGTACATGCATGTTAAAATTCTTCGCAGTTCCAAATCTAGTTAGTGCTTAGAACAGACATGCTTTCTTTAAGGTGAAAAGGTATTCAGCTGATCTTGCAGCGAATCAGTGCCATTCGTTCATCATGGATACTTCCCGCTCCTTGGTTTATGCAGGACTTCCGCGGAACGAATTCACTGAATGTAAACTGGGCGAATTGGCTGACAAATTATGGATCTATTTTCAAAGGAAAAATGTTAGTCAAGGTTGCGACGTCGACAGTGTTTCCAGCATTGAATCCGACACAAGTGGTAAACTGTGGATGAAGGTTATATTCAGTGAGCCATCAGGTAATTAGATGACATAGGGGAAAGTTCAAATTATGCCGATGCAGCATACGCATTTAAAAGGGAAAAAAGGCATATTGAAAACTTTCCCACCGGAAGTAATTAGCCAAATCTAATCAGCTTAAATTAGACGAAAGTTAGACATTGCAATCCTTGGTATTTAAACACAGGATTATTGGCCCAGTATTCAGCAGGGCGGCCATTAATGCCCCCCCCCCAACAATTAAGTTGGAAATTCGATGTTAATGGAGGGATTCTTTTATTTCAGGCTTTCTCTTCAATTTCAACAAGAAATATTCTTTTTTCAATGAACTTGAAAATACATAGCGAGCCACGGTCGTTTCGGCATTTAAATCGGTTACACTGATCATGGCCACCAAATGCAGCATTCTACTTTAAACATTGATTTGGTGTAAAACTGTACAGGTCAAGTACATGGCCAAGTAAAGCTGGGTTCATGTTGGTGCAGACCACTAATTCAACTGAGAATTTCTGGCCAGCTTGTTAACAGTATCTTTTGAAAAAGGAGATCGTTTGGCCCCCAAAATGGTGAGATTGTGTAAATCCTTGCCAGGATCAACTTCGTGGGTCTTTGAGCTTTCATTATGAGAGCAGAATGGCTAAAAAGTACGGTTGAAAAATGGTCCCAAGTGCCCCAGAAAGTTGAGGGTTACCACTTGAAAAATGGCTGCGATCAGACTTCGGAAAAAAATCAGTCTTTGGGGGTTGATTTTATTTTGTGGGAATAATTTAAAATGTAATTGGTTAACCCGCGAAAAAT